AAAATGCCTCCATTTGCATAACCAACAAAACCTTGACAATATCTGTTAGAATAAACAAATCTATATCATAGATTCCTTTTGCAATATTACACTAATCGTATTTCAATACACATAGGAGTAAAACTATATCTCGCTAGAATATTGTTATACTTTTGGTTCTAGCAAGATACACTAGTGCACCAATTGTACTAGACACAAAAATAAATCATGTACACCAAGATTACTCTAATCCACATAAGAATTTGCTGAAACTTTAACAATTTAAATCCTTCAAGGATTTTCATTATACGCATATTAAGTTTTTTTATGTATTGTCAAATTAAAACCTGAAAAGGATTTCATCCACCATAGGAGAACATATCTCCATATAACTAATGCCGGAATATTTATGAAAAATCTTGTGCTACAAGTCGTCTTTATGTCTATCGACTTGATTTTTCATTCCACTTTCAGGTGTTGGGACTATCCGTCCAACTTCACATTTTTTAGGTGAAGTCAATTTTCATTGCGTATTTTTCATTTGGCCAATCATTTATCTGTTCAAATTCCATGACAGATTTGAGCTCAAGATCCTCGTCAATAATAATAATATTGAACGCTACATTATATCAACATTATTGTCGACGATCATTTTATATCGGTTCCATCTCCACCCAATAAACACATAACTTATCGAGATCTCAATAGTTTCAAGTACCTGAGCCTCTCACATGAGGTCTTATAAAATGTTATGTCGTGGTGCTCTTATAGAGCCCTTGCCTCCTTAGTATGACCATATTTATCATTTGCTCCTCTCCTTCTTCAAGGAGTTTTATCTATGGAACCGATTAGTCTATTACGCTTGATGCGTGCCATAGAGTCTGTCTATCATGAACTTTATTCCATTTGGAGCATTAGCAGCCGAAATATGACATTTAGCTTTGGGTCAACAAATGTGCCTGGCATTATTTTGCAAATGAATTATCACTTGAACTTCAAGTTCACATTTTCTTGCACGAGGATCTAGGTGTACTCCTAATAATTCATTCCATGTATTACTTTTTCCGCTAACCATTTTCTCTCCCTAATGTTGGGATCACCAACATATATTCCCAACATTCTTTGGGGACCCATCTTTGTGCATTGTGGTGGAAAAATTAAATCGTATAGCACATCCATATCTCTAGATGGAAATTATTTGGTTCCTGACCCTGAACCAATTGTGATAGGGAGAATTTATCATAACTTGTTGGCCAGATGCGTACAAGTGCAGTTGTATATTAAATAATATACCTCATACCAAATTTTTATTTGGGAGTTTTATTCTCATAACCAATGGTTTAGCTTAATTGGAGGCATACAGTTTCTGCTAAACCAACTTGTATTTAAACCAGAATTATCAAGATAAATTATCATAATTTTTATTCTGGAACTGTGCTCTAATAATTTGAGCAATCAACCTTGCAAAAGCCAAACTGCAAGTTGATAACAAACGCACATGTGACCATAAAATAGATGCATCTATTAAAATTATATAATAGTAAACGGTCCACATGGCAGGTGACTGGATATATATATATATATATATATATATATATATATATATATATATATATCACCTTTTATACGTTTCAAAAATTAGGGAATACAATCCCAAAACCTAGCTGGTATAGTAATCAATTTATCATGAGAACAAGTCGTACATGAGAGTTCTCGAAGAATCTCTTAATTCTTCAATATATGCCAATGTGAATTCTCAATCATTTTTCACATCATAACTGAACCGGGATGGCCAACCGGTAATGCCAACTGATATTTGTTTTTGTAAACCTCTTGTTTACTTGTGGCATGTGATTCCATCATCATGCTTATACATGTGTCGTACAAATAGAAGAAAAGGCGGGTAACTTTTCATATTTACCTGGTATGATTATAGTAATATAGAAGATATTCAATTTTCCTTTAATTTATGGTCTCAATATTCCAACCACTTTGGCTAATACATTTGAAACTCAAAAAATTTCTTTTGAGACTTACTACAATATCAATGTCATGTACAATTTCATTCATCTGGGTAGAAATATATTAATTCTTTCGGAACTCTTGATTTTGTACTACAAGATCTTTTGTCACACCATTCATAGATTGTCATGGTCAAAATTATTATAAGCAAAATCATTTCTTGCTTTAATTTTGCCTTTAGTAACTTGTTATAAGGCATGGCAAAATATGTTTTGGCATACCACGTATACGCGACCAATGACATATTCATGTAACCACATTGTAATATTCATTATCTTTATTTTTCTCAAACCTCCCAGCAGAGGTGAGTGTAGTATTTATTTAACTATGCATAAGAACATTCTTATGCACAATTTTTATCACATATATATTTTCACATTCACTTTTAGGAATGAGTCTGTATTTACAATGTTTATCACAAGTCACATTCTCTTCAAGTGGACTATAATCATATGGGCGTGCTTTATTATTTTCATACCACATTGATGGCAAACGTCACCTTCACATTTTGAAGTAATATTTTGAGAACCCTTATTGTTCTCCTTTTGACAATTACCATAATGATGACTATTATTATTTGGTCTTTGGCACGCCCACGTTCATTGGTTAACCACTTGTCTTCATTTAGACTTATTATACATCGCTATCACATTCACTTTAAGAATGGAGCAAATCAAGTGGGACAAGTGTCATGCCTTTTTCATGAAAAATATATTTTCTTTACATTATTATATCATCAATATGGTGCATTAGGATCCAAACCAAATGTCTTTCCCTCATAATGGTATGTTAGGCCAAAATATGGTGGGACTCAAACCCAACTCTAATAATCATGGTTCACCAGGACCCAAACATGATGTCACCCTCATGGTGCGCTGGGACTTGAACCAACTGTCTTATCTTTATATAACATTTATCACGAATTGTCTCGTTCACTTCAGGGAATGGAACATAATTTTACATAGCCATAAATTCAACTTTAGTAAGTTCAACATAGTAAACACTATCATAATAAATAAGTGAATTAAAAATGATAAGGAATATTATCAATGAAACTTTGATCCAATACATACTCGTGTACTAATATACTATAGGTAAACTTATCAAAATCAAATGTTATTTTCATTCGTGGCCCGTGATTGAAAAATTTTAATTTTTTCTATTTTTCATCACAAGCAGTGAAAACATTAATCTAGATGAATAATATAATTAAAAGAGATATATATATGTCAAAATAAGAAAGTATGTAACAGATATTGCATTGAAGCCAGGAAGACAAGTAATCTTCAATATTAGAACCGGTAAGAAAATTTTCTAACTGTTTTAAAAGTAAATTTCAATAAACACTAACCATCACAACGAAATTTTACATCAAACTAAAAGTGACAAAATACTTGGTAATTGGACTTAATTCTTACTGGTTAACATGTCTCAATATTAAGCTCAATATTAGCAATATCTTTTATGGACTAATAGAACTAACTACTATATCAATAAATTCCTTTGAATGTATGCTTGGTGAAAGATTAAAAACAAAACATGTAGGCAATACATAAAATTTTATTGGGCAGAGATCCATGTAAAAAGAGAAAAAAATTAACAATTATATTTTATTTTTAAACATATTAATCTGGTAGGTGTGGCCACTTTCTGTTTGATAATTTAGAACCATTAAGACATCAACCAAATATTATGGTTGGATTATGCTTTATATATGAGAAGTGATCGTTCTGCTTTGTATGGTTAGAAAGAAGTGATTATAATCACAAATAAAATTTAAAGCAGATTTCACATAAAAATGCATAACTTTAAACACATGCACAAAGAGTTAGCAAACAAAAAAAAGGAATAAAGTAATATTGGAACATATCATGAAACTCTGCTATAGTTCAACTTAAGCAAGTTTTGTTTCGAAAGCTTATATATGAGAAACTTAGCTATTATTAAAAATCAATTATGCTAAGAAATGTAATTGAGAATATTATAAATGAATGATGATAACAGTTCCAAAGCGGGCCAATTGGTATATACTTGTCAGGCTAAGCAATTAAGTGAAAGAAACTTACCTCACATATTTTATAGACAAAAAAAAAATATTTAGATAAGAGAATTAAGTTTTTCGGATCACTTTGCAAGGGATGTTGCAGCGCCCTTGAAAGCTTTGGAAAATTTTCAAGTTCAACAAATGAAAACCAGTAAAGTGTAAGCTTACATATGGTTCTTCTTGATTCAACCAACTCAGTTTCCTGCACAAATAATATTGTACTTCTGTGTAATATGAACAATACCAAAAGTTAAATCCCAAATACTAAATTGAGAATTTATAGGGAAAATGAAAAAAAAAAACTCCCTGGACAATTGAAGCAAATTGATTCACATATGAAATACTCGAGCTTCCATCATCAACGTAATTGATTCTATGTTTGCTTATCTCAATTGTTTAGAGATTCGTGCTGATAACGTGTTACGAAACTTAGCTCAAAGTAATAAAAAAAGAAAATAGACAAGAATATAGAGAGCAAGAGATGAGAGCTTCTTATTTATTTTAAGTGTGTCAAGTATGTACAATGTGGTGCCAAAACCCACTATTTATAGGATTACATAGAGGTATACAAAAGAATGGCATAAACATGACATTAAACATTTGAGATCATGAAGGAAGATCATGGAAAGGTTATGGAGGTGTGGGAGTTAAAACTATAATGGTGAGAAGTAGCGAAAATTATCTACGCAATGAAAAAGAATAGTAGGAGTAATTTTTTTTAGGAGTTATAAAGATCCACTAATATAGTTATAATATTTCATAACATACAATAGGTACTCAATCCGTCCCAAATTTAAGACTTACTTTTCATATAATGCTTATGCCCAAAAACGCCTACATAACATATTCCACTTTAATAAGACAAAACCACCACCGAAATGATGCGCCAGCACGCAAGACCTAAACTATTGTCACACTATGAGCTCCACCACACCGAAGATCGCCCAGAAAAACATGCCAAAGAACAGAAACTTAGAAGGCAAGGGGAATATAACCATACACTCTACTCTATATCTCATGAAGTAATTTATTTTGGCAACAAAAGGCAAGGTTCACCTTAACCTGAGATGCGACCGTGATAATCCTACTATTGCCTAATCATAATGAGGTTGGTCTCACCCCTCTACTTGGAGAACAAAAAATTTCATAAGCAAGCAGTTCACACTAACTTCCTAGTTATACCGAGAATAAGAGGTTGACAAAGAAAAAAATTTCATTTCGACAACAGAATGAGCAACTCCGACGTTATGTTCCCGAAGATAATCTACTTCTTTACTTCCTCATACTCGGCCTCGGTGGCTCCCCCTTGAGAACCTCCTTCAGAGCCACCTCCAGAGGCACCCCCAGCTCCACCAGCCATATGCTGTCCAATCTTAGAAGCAGCCTTGTTTGCTACATCAAGCTTTGATTTGATATCATCAATGTTATCACCTCCCATTGCTGTTCTCAAGTCGGAAACAGCTTTTTCGATTTCCGTGGCAACCTCCTTGGGGACCTTGTCCCTGTATTCACTCAAGCTCTTTTCAATACTGTATATGGTAGTGTCTGCACTGTTCCTGATATCAATCAGTGCCTTCCGCTCCTGATCCCTCTGGGCATGCATCTCAGCTTCCTTGACCATCTTGTCTATCTCATCTTCTGATAGTCCACCAGACGACCGAATAGTAATCTGCTGTTCTTTGCCAGTGGCCTTGTCCTTTGCAGAGACCGTGACAAGTCCATTTGCATCTATGTCAAATGTGACTTCTATCTGAGGCATACCCCTTGGTGCAGGAGGAATACCAACAAGTTCAAATTCTCCCAGCATCTTGTTATCAGATGCCATCTCTCGCTCACCTTGCAAGACTTTAATGCCAACCTGGGTTTGGTTATCAGCAGCAGTAGAGAACACCTGGAATAACAAGAGGAGAGGGAGCAAAACTTAGAAGCCATGACAAAAGAGAAACAAATCCCTGCGCACATAATATTGAGAATATAAGCAATTGCAAAGATAAATATGACACTATGTCAGAACATAACTTACCTGGCTTTTCTTTGTAGGTATGGTGGTATTCCTGTTGATCAGCCTGGTAAAGATACCTCCCAAAGTCTCAATACCTAGAGACAATGGAGTGACATCCAGAAGCAGCAACTCTTTCACATCACCACGGAGAATGCCACCTTGAATTGCAGCTCCCATGGCAACTGCTTCGTCTGGATTTACACCTTTGCATGGGCTCTTGCCGAAGATCTCAGAGACCACATCCTGCACCTTAGGGACACGAGTCATACCACCAACAAGGAGGACCTCATCCACCTCTTTTGTCGATATTCCTGCATCCTTCAAACAGTTCTTGCAAGGATCCCTTGTCCTCTCTATTAAGTTGGACACCAACGACTCAAATTTGGATCTTGTTAACGTTATATTAAGATGTTTGGCTCCTGATGCATCTGCTGTGATGAAAGGTAAATTAATTTCAGTCTGTGTGGTTGATGATAGCTCTATCTTAGCTTTCTCAGCTGCCTCTCGGAGTCTTTGCAGGGCAAGCCTGTCTTTTGACAGGTCAATTCCATCTGTCCTTCTATACTCATTCACCAAAAATTCCAACAACGCGTTGTCAAAATCTTCTCCTCCCAAAAAGGTGTCCCCATTTGTTGCTTTGACCTGAGTGGTAGATAGTTAGAGGATGGTCAGAATTAAAAAAAAAAACAAGATGAACAACATCATAGATCACAAAAAGCTTCAATTACCTCAAAAACGCCATTTGATATTTCCAATATAGAAACATCAAAGGTACCACCACCAAGATCAAAGACTGCAACAAGACCTTCTTTGTTGTTCATACCATAAGAAAGTGCCGCAGCAGTAGGCTCATTAATAATCCTTTGCACATCAAGGCCTGCAATTCGCCCCGCATCCTTGGTTGCCTGCCTCTGGGCATCATTGAAATAAGCTGGAACAGTGATCACAGCTTTATTAATAGACTTCCCCAGATAGGCCTCTGCAGTTTCCTTCATCTTTGTTAAAATAAACGCTCCAATCTGACTTGCGGAATACTGCTGTCCATTGGCTTCAACCCAAGCATCTCCATTGGGAGCTCTCACTATTTTGTAAGGAACCATCTTCATTTCCTTCTGTGTCTGGGGATCATCAAACCGCCTGCCAATTAGACGCTTGGTCCCAAATACGGTATTTGTAGGATTGGTGACTGCCTGACGTTTGGCTGGAGTACCGACAAGCAATTCCCCCTTTTGGTTAAACGCAACTACTGACGGAGTGGTCCTAGATCCTTCAGCATTCTCAATCACTTTAGGGTTCTGCATGAATAAAAGCATCAAACCATGTCTTAAATTCACCAAAACCAACTCAGTCTAAGGAGAACTTAAACAGTGATACCAAAAAGGAACATGTTTAACCCATTCCTAATGAACCAGACTCTTACCTTGCCCTCCATCACTGCAACGCAGGAGTTTGTTGTACCCAAGTCAATCCCAATAATCTCATTTCCAGCAGGTCTAGAGCTGCACCATATGAAAGATGAGTTCCAGTAGACAAGTACATATTCTAATCATACAGAAAGGTGAAAGAGATGAGACATAAGGCAGTTACCAAAATGGTCTGGCTAGACCAGCACATTTAGCACCACCAAGTGTTGGACACCATGACGGCTTAGTGTTTGAAGCAAGCTGCAGAAGCCATACGTAGCACCCACATAAGCAAAATTCATTTTTCAACAAAAAAGTTCTCATCTTGATTTTTAATTTTATTTAAAATTACACACAGCAAAGTTCTCATACGAGAATCCGCTAATTGCAAACAAAGAATACCTATGAATGTCAACCAGTGAAAGAACCAGGATAGACAGCATCCACAAAGTCATTCTTGCGACAGATGGATGCATATCACCAGATGAACTAAAGAGAATATCACTCCACATTTATCTTAACAAACAAAATGATAGACTTCTCCCCACTCTAAGAAAATGCATTAGGAGTTATTTTTTTTTTTTGATTTGCACCGGGTGTCCGAGTCTCTAAGAGACCCGACTAATCCCGGGGGTGCACAGGCGCTCGGCAAGGAGTTTCCCGCAAGTGCACCACGATTAATTCAGGTTTTACCCAGTCCGATGGCCCTCAGAAATTGTTTGCACCCGATGGCCCTCACCATGCTACTTAGAGTAAATAGTCTCCCACCATGACACACGATCCCGATCACAAAGGCAAGCCCCTCTTCCTCCCTCTCAGGAATATATTCCACTATCTATCCCTCAATTCAAACTAGTTGATATCAACTATTTGAATAGAGCAATAAGGGCCATTTCATCCCAATGTTATATCATTTTTCTTTGAATTTTGAGTTCTCCAAAAACTATTTGATCCAGCAACCAGGGCCATTTCATCCCAATGATATATCATTTTTCTTCTACAGTAAATATGAGTTCTTTAAGTGTGTTTACTACTAGGGAAAGGACTTCCAGGAAAATATTTTCCATGAGAAAGTCATTTTCTGGTGTCTGGTATGACACATGTCATTTTACCATGGAAAACCTTTTCCATCAAAAGGAGGAAAATGTGCTCCATCACTTACGGTCGGAAGTCATTTTACTTGCAACTATCTTAACTGGTGGAGCCTGTCGAAAGACTTCTTCCAAAGACTTCTTCCATCTTCTTTAGCCGAGGGTCTATTGGAAACAGTCTTTCAGCGCTTCCAGGGTACTCCCCTGACCCCACTTATGGGATTACACTGGGTTGTTGTTGTTGAATCTTAACTTTTGGCTTCATATTACTTGTTTCAACACTTGCACATTATTACCAATCTCTAGTACTCAAAAGTTTCATCAAAACACTCTAATTTGTTTTTTCTGTAAAAAAATATTTTCCACTCACCAACCAAATACCAAAAAATATTTTCTAGGAAAATGACTTCTTTCATACCAAACACACCCTATAACTAGAAGTTTTCTAGACTTAACACTTATACAAACTCACAATTACTGTCAAAAAAAAGCACTGACCAAAAATCAACACACACTTCTGGTTCTACATTTGATGCAAATCCCTACGAAAATATAAAAACCAAAAGACGAGCAGCACCTAAGTGATAAATTCAGAATATAACATTAGAATTCCACACCTCTATTTTTTGGGGCAAATATATAATATTTATATTATATGTATATAATACACATATATACAAAAAATATACATTTAATCGGCTATTATTTTTGAAATCAGCTAAAAATACACATTTCTCTTTTTTCTAACTACAAGGGGAAATTCTATGACGGAATATTTTCACTAACACCACAATCTGATCTAAAATCACAAAATACTGAGAAGATTAAAGATTAGCAGACAACAGTTGTGAAAATGATTGAAGGATAAGAAAGAGGGAGACTTCACATACAGCTTTATAAGCAGAAAGAGAAGAAGTAGCAATGTCACGGCGACGAAGAGATCTGAGCAATACGGCGGCTGCCATCGGAGAAAACAGTAAGGAACGACGAGCTTGCAGCTTCTGTTAATGGAGGCTAGGGTTTAGGGTTTTAGAGATTATTCCAGTAGTGGCTTCGGGAAAGGGAAATATAGGTGGCGTGGCGGTGTACAATTAAACGACGACTGTGTGAGAAAGATCTAGAGGTATGTGATGTCGCCTTCTATACTCTTCTTTTTCTTCTTTTTCTTCTTTTTCTTTTTTTGTTTCGTCCATAATTTTTTTTGAATAATTTCCTTCCCTGATAATTCTCTAGTCAATTAGTTTTGTGCCACATTACTATTTTTTTTTTTTTTGTAGATAAATACCCAAGTAAAATATGTACAGCATTACTATATTTTTTATTTTTGTGATAAAATTCTCAAGAGATCTTTATTTTCACATGTCAAATTTTAGAAAATAAAACATAACTGCGTTACGTTCTTAATTTCTTCTATTTAATATGAAGATAAAACATATTGACAATCGCTCAAACGTGGCACCAATTACTTTGCATAGGGCGGCTCAAACCAAACCTGTATCAGAACCTTAATTTTTATAAAATAAAGGCCCCTACAAGTTGTCCTGATCAATTGAACACCTCAACTGAGGTCATTTTCAGCTAGATACTTTATTTATTTACAAAACAAGATCAACTAAACACCCAGTCATATCAGCCTTCATTGCGTGAAATACACTCTCCGAGACGCGAGTTGCCTATCTAAAAGTAGGTTTTTTCTTTTTCTTTTCCTAAAATAATATGGACCCCACCTAATTTTCACACCTTTTTCCTCCAATTTTCACACCTCCTCCTCTCAATATCAGATTTTTTGCCAAGAGAAGCAAATCACACAGTAGCAAATTATTTTTCTTTTGAGAAGCATTTGTGACAACAAAAATTTCACATTTGGATTAAAAAAAAATATGCCAGAATCTGTAAAAACATGGCCAGAAGAAGATGAAGGATAAAATGGCAAAAAGAAGAAGAAGAAATTGAAACCTAAGTGTTCTCTCCATTTTCTCCCATTCTAGCGCATAGTGTTGCATAGCGTTGCAATATAGTGTTGCATCTTTATCTTGAACTGCCGGGTTCAGATGTCATTAAAAACCCTTCTCACGTCTTCACTACTTTTGTTTTATTCGCCGATATTACTCCCGTCCAAGATAAAAGAAAAAGGGTTTAAAAAAGAAGAAGGATGAATTAAAAGTGTCATATAGATAAATCTGGTGTTTGTTTAATTCCTGAAAACCTATCCTCTCTAGGATTGTTTTCTTATCACAAAAAAAAATGGATTCCCTTCTTACATCTTCCCCTGATATCGGAAATTTGCTCAGCTCTTCCTCTCTATTCTCTAAATGTTATCCTTCCATTTCTTCAGCAAATGGACGCTCTTCTTTCTTCCTATATTTTCTTCCTAAAGGTTTCAAGGATTTAAAAGACCAATTTTGGATTTTGTAAACCCTATGGTGGGGGTGGCGCTGGTTTTGGTTTGGAAGAAGAAGAAAGGGGAGGGGGGGGGGGGGAGGGCGGCTGGAAAGGAAGTTTTTCTTTTCTT